CAATAGTAGTTTTCACAATGATACAAATGTAAGTAGCAATCTTTATTCAATATCTCTGGAATGAAAAAGATGTAAAAATTTAAAATAATTTTATCTCACATCTCATCAATCTCACGCATCCCTTTCTTACGTTAGGCATACGTTTCTAATCGTCGACGAGAAATAACGACGAGAAATTGAATCATTATCATATACGTTTCTTCTTTCTTCTTTTTAATTGGATATTTTTAATATAGAGCGCAATTCTATTGTTCTATTCATAATTTCTCTGGAATCATATTCTCAGGCATAAGTTTCGTACGTATAATCTTGTCAAAATTAATGCAAAAAATAATGCATCAAGTACAAAAGGATTAAGCATCATATCTCGAAACGAAATATAAATCCATCAAAAGCATTCTCGCCATTTTCTCTTCTCATCTCCCTAATACGCTCGCAGTTCAAGGCAGGAGATATTCCATTCAAACGTGAATTCGTAATAAATCCTTTAGCGTTGCCAAGGGGTCGAAAGCCGAGTTTCTCGACATCGAAACAAGTTTTATTAACTTCCTCAACCCCCGTTCTACAAAAGCGTATATACCGGTGATACGTTACACCTTAGCCTATGGTGGGACACACCACGGCATTGAAGAGAAAGTTGGACATTTCGCTCGTGTGCGCCCGACAACGGGTAGAGATTACAATAAATTGCACGTACCCTTCTCGAAATACAACACGGGCCATTGATACGAGAACGAAATTTGAACAGATTCCAGCTCGTGATACAGTGTTCCCTTTTCTTCTTTTTTTCTTCTTTTTTTCTACCTTTTCTTCCCTTTCCTTTCTCATTCGTCGTGTTTCTGGGCGTGATCTAGCGATCTAGTCTCCGTTTTCGCACCTCTCCTTCGATTAGAATCGGTCTTAACGGGCACAACGGAGTGATATTCGTTCTTTAGAAATGTTGCAATTGTAAATCAGTCCCGATTGTATTGTAAAGTATTTTATTTTATTTTGTTATCAACTATAATCTAACAAGTAAATAAAAATGATCTCCCAATTTTTATACTTTCTTACTGAGAAATAATGTGAGTATCTGTTTACAGGATCAATTTTTCTTTTATAGAGATAAATAAATCTATTTATTCTTTGCAACGTTTATATTTCAATCAATAATTTTGAATCGAATTTTTTATTCTTTCACCTCTTGATTTGTATGAGACACACTCTCCCTTCAAGTTTCGAGAATGCGGCAAACACGCGCTTCGTTACGCCCGGTTCCATTGCAAACGATACAGAAGAAGTGTGAAGTCACCCCCTCCGATGGTGTCGAAATATAGAGAGAGAGGGTGGCTTCCAGCTAGAAGGGTCACCGGCGAAGAATGATATTTTAATAATTGTCTCGTAATCCATCCTACGAGAATAAAGGCTTCTTTTAGCCTTGGAATTTTGTGGGAGAGGCAACAGCTACATTAACATCAGCCGTCGCGATATTGCATTCCATTCTTATGATGCTGATCGTCATTAATATAATTTTCAACGGGGTTGGAATTGCAATTACGTGCCTTGATCGATGGTATTACGCGATGTGATTAATGTTATCTTTGCTTTCTTCCTACTTTTTTTTACTTTTCAAACGAAAATCAGAAGATTGTTTTGCACAAGTTTTTTCTTGTTCTTCATCGATTGTAGAAAATTCTTCGATTGATTCTATTTCGTTGAAAGATATTAATATCAATAAGATTAATAATTTTTGTATAATTCCAAGATATTGGATTTGAAGAATTATAGATTAAAAGGATTCTGAAGTATGTATGTATTTTATTCGAACAATAATTTTAAACACTTTGCCAATGTAATGCCACAAAAAAAAAAAAAAATTTAGATAGAATCTTACGATATTCGTCACTTTCTACTTTTAAAGTCGACGATAGGCTGATAAATCTAACGAGATATTCAATTGAAAAAAATGATCAAAAAATTAAATCAAGCAATGATTAATCGTTCAAAAATATGATATTATTAATATTTTGTTGATATCTTAAAAGTTTTCTCTATATATCAGACATCAGTATTCTTACATTGTTTCTCGATTAAATTTTTCTTCCGTATTTTGTTGCAATCCAATTCGTATACCTACAGATGTACTAAAGGTGAAGAATATCGAGGAGAGAGTTGCGCGGAGACTTCAACGCGGTGAGTTAAAAATTTCTTCGATCCGTCGTTAGCTGAACGCTCGAAACTTGTATTTCTGCAGAGACGATTGAATTCAACCGAAACGGAAAACTATAATTCGACTCGTTTATTTCTTGCGCGACGGTCGTTACCGGCCCTCGTTACCGGAAAATCTGAAGAAGTATTGGAAACTATTACTAATGACCATCGACAAGATTTTCTCGTATTTCTTTTTTTCTCTTTTAATTTCTTATGCTTGAGAAAAATGAAGTAGGTAATTTGAAATTTGCTTTAGAGTTATTAATCGCTAAACGGAAATACGTTAGCTTCCCTGTAAAAAAAAAAAAGAAAAAAATAAATAAATAAAAAACATAATAGAAAATAAAGTGGAAGGAAAAATGCATTTATAACTATAAAGTTCAATGTAATTTTAAAAATCTTTTATATAAATCATTTTGTTGATTTAAATATTTCAAAATGTCATCTTGAAAATTAATCATCAAAAAAAAAAAAATATCTATACTTATTTTATTCAGTTAAATATTTCTTTTAAAGATTAATAATTTAACTACGTATATATTTATAATACGCATATTTTTAATGAAATCTTTCTCTCAACAATTACATTAATTAAGATCGCGTAATTTTATATGACGAGTCGTTCAATTTTTTGATTTAATGTTAAAAATATTTTTTCATATCCTTTTATTAAGCGTTTTCATCGCTTTTCAAATTATTATCATCTCGTATAACCGTATCAAAGAAGTTTACCCTGAGAGAAGCACGCAGTTTCCCACAGGTAATTTTCTCACAAGCGAACCTTTAGCGAGAAACATCGTACCGCAATCGGGGTACCTTTAAAAATGAACGTCACAGACAACTACACCGCGTGAATAGCGAAAAAGCAGCGATTCTTTCTATTCAGAGGCGCTCAACGAACCCATCTGTTCCCCCCGTTGGCCAGCTCCTTTCTTTTAATCCCTGTTTCATTAATAGTTCTCCGGTAATTCGAACCCACTTCAGTTCCGTTCACCTCGAATTACCACCGATAGATTCCACAGTAACTTCCGTCGAAAGAGATCCCCGAAAATGTATAACGGCCCATGATTCGTTTCACTTTCCTTTCTTTCTTTTTTCTTTTTCTTTCCATTAAAGAAGAAAATAAAATTCGAATTTTGATCTTTTAACGATTTATTACGTTAGAATACTATATAAGACAGATATCTATCTACTTAACAAATAAGATTATCGTGATGTTTATTAAATTGTTAAGTTTAAAAATATCACTACGTATAATTGTAATTTAACTGGTAAAATGGATAAAGAGGGCGAAATTGCATCAAAATTTAAATAGATATATTATTAATCTTATCGTTATATTATAAAACGAATAGGAAAGTAAAAACTCTTAATCCGAATCGATTTAAAAAAATCTTGTTATTCATAATAACAAGAAGAAGTCACGTTACATTAAGATATTTTGAAAATATTATTTTATCGAATGTTATAAATTGAAGAATCTTCAAAGAGATTCTCAATCTTGCACAAAATAATTACGACAATCTAACCAATAGCATTATACCCCATACTTGTCTCCTAAACTACATAATACTACCGGGCTCAAGAGTGCCGTTATAACATGCGGGGGCGTAGGTATGCACGTGCACGGCCATTGAGTCCTCGTCAGTCCGTGAAAGAATTCCACAGGGGGTGCGTTGCCCGTTGAAGAAAGTCTGCTGCGGCTGACCGCTCGTTAAAAAGTTTAACCGGCCGTTTATTAGCGGAACAGAGAGGGAACGAACAAGAGTTGGAGAGGGGAAAGAAGTAATATATAGGGCGAGTACGAAATGTAGCTTCTACCTTGACGTTTCGCTTGACGACTTTACCCCCTCCCCTGCCCTTTCACTTCCCTCGTTTCTGTTCCACGGGTTAATTCTTGACGCGCACGCTTTCGATAACAAGGTTGTTTCAAGTGGCTCTCCCAAGCTTGGGGGATCTCTATTACTTGCCCCGAGCAACTATATCGAGTGTTCCGCTGTTTAACTTAATTGCCGCTAGCTGCTACTTCGCTGTTGCTCTCTTTTTACATAGAGGGCAGGTTCGTCGCTTAGTTAATACGGTTCCCTCTTACAATGAGCGAGTGGAATTTGATTGGGTGTTTTTTTGAATGCCATCGAGTGTTTCGACTGTAGTTGGACAGTCTATTTCCTTCATCGTTTATGGGGAATTTTTATTGTATAGAGTGTTGCATCTTGTGATGTACATATAACGTGGTATTTAGAACTAGTAGTAATTTTATTTTGATTTTGCAAAATAGAATATTTTAAATGTTTTTATATAACTTTTTCCATATAAGTATTTATGTTATTACAACAAAACTTTCTACCATCTTCTATTATTCTATATTTTCTATAATATTGTAATTATTATCTAAATAATAATATTTTCCTAATTTTCTATTTCAAGTGATCATTATTCAATTCTATCTAGTAATATATCCCCAGCGATTATTAACGTTTTTAGTCATGTATATATAGCTAACTAACAATAAATCGTTATATATTCGTCGTTACCGATTGATTGGAACGGTCCAATGCGAATATCAGCAGGTGGTAAATACACGCGGGGCTCACAATAAAAGATGTACAACGTTTTTTCAAGGGTGTCAAGGATCCGTAAGAGTCAATTCGGCATGCGTCGTAGAACAATATAAAGTGTTTGCTGGCTGGAGAATTTCATAGGTATTGTGCGTATTAATGCACGCTTTTTCTTTTCTTTTCTTTTCTTTTTGCTTTTTTCTTTTTTTTTTTTCATTTCGTAAGCGAACGATACGCCCTGTTTTGTTCCAGGCACAAAGAGGTCGAGAATCTCTGAGAGCACTACGGGAACAATGCTTTCCACGAGCGACACCGGTAACGAAGACGACCGTGACTCCGACTCTGGTGGAGAACTTCTTACTGACCGTTCATTGGGTAAAGTTCCGTACATCTCACCAATATAGATTAATCTGTGACAAACAATTGAAGCTAAGATTGTAGATTACTTAAAATAAATTGGAATAAAAATTAAAAATCAATTTTGTTGAATATAATTGAATTTGCAAGAATATAACTTTATATACACTCGTGTAATGAAAGTTTTAATTTAAACTATTACATTATTCGTGTCTTATATGATATGACTTATTATTGTGTATTTTTTTTTATTGTATCATTAAAAAAAAGAAGTCAAAGATTTAAAAATTTACTAAATAAATAAAGTTTATTACTTTTTATTTATCTTACATTCAATGATAAATCAATTATTCATTGAATTTTTATTATTAATATTTGTTAAAAATTATTTTGTTAAGCAAAAATTTTATTGTCAATAACCAAATCATATGAAAATTCTGTAAAAATAGCTAGATAACTCTTGTGTGTAATAGCAATTCCAACGTCAATTGGAATAACGGAGAACGATACAACGCGGAAACGATCAAACAGCCTGAACGATTCTGAGGATGGAAGTCCGGAACCAGGTTCCCAGAGCCCGACGCATACACCTCCACTGACGCCAGCATTGACACCGCAAAGAGAGGATACGCCAGCGCCAGAAAATCTCAGCCTTCGCAAAAGCGGAAGTCCTCAACAAACGCAACAAACGCTTCAACCGGTGGACTTGGTACAGCCTAGACCTAGCCCTCCACTACCTTCGTTGGCGGTTAGCTTTTTACTTTATTCCTTTGACGAATCAATGTCTGTACGTGGGATTTCAAACGTAATGTTTGATGTACTAAGAGATGATATGTCAGTAAACTCATATTCGAATTTATATGAGCCGGTTTTTATAGTCAAATTGAACCTCTATTTTTTGCAATTTTTTTATAATATATCTCAGGCAAATCTAATCTCGTATTGATTAATTTTTTATTGCAATTGCATATATAAATAATAAAGCAAACGGAATTTTTGAATTTATTAATTCTAAAATATATATATATATATTAATTTTATAATTATTTTTTCAATGTTTTGTAATTTCTGAATTAATTAAATTTAGTATTATAATTTTTTTATTTTATAAATGAAAAGAAATTTATATTGGAGAAAAATATTAACGTAATTTTAAGCGTTATATAAATAGCATGAATCATAACTAAAATCATTGCAAAAATAACAAATATATTTGCATAATAAAAATTCTTAGTGATTAATCGTATCAATTTATCGTCCAAAAATCTTATTTATTATATTTTTATGTCAATGTATGGTACAATGAATGCTAGCAATTGATAGCAAGAAAATTGAAACAAAAAGAAAGGAAAACCTCAATTTTCGTCTGAAATTTCAATACAATCAGCTTTACAATAATCTTTTTCAAAGTAATCTCTATTTTAATCAATGTACTCCTATCAAAGTAAGTAATATAGTATTTTTATAACAATAAAAAAAACAATGCAATTAATAATACAATATAATAAAAATCATTAAAAAGATTAATATAAGAATAATATCTTTAACATCTTTATAATATCTTTCATAACAGACGATAATACTCAAGGAATTAGGAAGCTTCCTCTCTTTGAAGATAAATTAATGCAGATTTGTGGAATATAATTACACACTCCTTTGCTTAAAATTAAAAATACGTTAGATATTAAACTTGAACAAAAGTTAAAAGTTAAAATAAAATAAATATACAAGAAATAAACGATTGCAATACTTTTTCCAGGCCGCAGCGACCGCGGTACACTTTCCACCCTATGCCCCTCTATACGGTCCAGCAGCGAGTTCGCTTTATTGTTCTCCAGCGTTGTACCAGCATCAACATCATCATCACATGCCAGAGCCCCGTGAGATTCAAATGCAGATGCAGATGCAGAATATTCAACAGACTTGCGGCCTTCAGTTGCAGCAACAACAACAGCAACAGCAGCAACAACAACAACAACAGCAGCAACAACGATCGCCTGTCGACGTTCTGTTGCGAGTATTCCCGGGAAGACGTCGCGCGGACGTCGAGGCTCTGTTGCACCGGTGCAAAGGTAAGCCCTGTAATTTGATATCCGCGACTATTATTCGTAGACAGAACATACGATCCATCCGTCCTCGTATAGTCTTATATCGAAAGACGATTTCAGAGGATACGTCCATAGTGTTCTCGAGTTTCCTTGCAACCCACAACCGAGTTTCAACCCCTTTGGTCGCAAAATTCGTGGTAACGTTTAGGGATTGAATTTTCAGAAGGACCAAGGATTCTTGGAATCTCGAATTGCGGGCTGTAATTTTGAACAGCACCGATCGAAATGAAAATTTTTTCTGGGTTTCAAAGGATGGGCATGAAGTAATTTCAATTTGATAAAATTTTCTTCGTGGAAGGAAATCAAAAGAAAAAATCCATATCGCATGGATACTTTGTATATCTGAAATATAAATAAATTTAAAAGTAAAAAAAAGAAAGAAATGACGATTAGGGGAAAAAGGATACATAAAGATACATAAATACAATAAGATCCCCGTTATCTCAATACTCGAAGTTGACAATAATTTGATAAAATGAAATAATGTTTGTTTCATCTTATCACATAAAATTCATTACTATAGTTTTATTGTTTTATTATATTAATCCTTTACAGTATCAACTGTAACTTCGAAGTTTACATTCACAAAGTGGGTAGATACACACTTTAAACATTTTGTTTTGTTTCACTTATCATTTCACCATTTTATTAATTTATCACTGTATCGATATCAAATCAGTTCTTTTAAATGATTTTGTTCCTAAAGATAATGATATATTTCTAAGTTTCAGATTAAATTTAAAAATTGTGATTAATTACAATTCCTTTCTCCTTTCTTTCAGTAACAAAAATTCTATTTATTAAATTGTTACAAATAAAATCATCGAGTATTTTAATAAGATTATAATATATCTTATAATAGAACAACTTGATAATATTAATCAAATTTTGATCTAACCAATTCAATACCAATTGTGTGTCAGGATTAAAATTATTGCAATTAATCGATCACTAATAATTCCTTCTTTCATTTTATATATTTATAAATTGTGAACCATTTATTCTTGAATAGTTTTACGAATTTATTAAATCGACAACATTTCAACAATCTAAAATAAAAATTTAAATAAACAAAATCGCGCGATTATTATTCCTAAACATTTACATGCACACAACATTACAAACGTATTTTCTACTATCCGTGAAAATAACTTGAAATATGTATATATATATACATATTATCGGTGGATACGGGGATCTTACTGTATACCAAAAAAAAAAAAGCAAAACAAAAATTTTTCACTCCAAAAAAAAAGAGAGAAAAGAAAAAAAAGAAACAAAAGAGTCAAGGAAAATGGAAACTGGCAGAGATATCTATGTCACAGGCGACGTGGTGTCCGCTATGGAGGTGTTGGTCTGCGAGGATAGTCTCCAGCCGAAATCAGCTTTCTCGCCTTTGGCAGGCGCATTGGCGTCGGCTGCGGCCGCGTCCGCCTCGGTTTCGGCCGCGTACGCGAGCAGAGCCGCGTACTGCACCACTCCCATCCCTTCGACCAGGCACAGGTTCCTGGCCGCTCCTTACGCAGGAACCGGCTACCTGCCCACAGTGATCAAGCCGCCCAATCAGAGTCTCCACGCGAATGGTACGAGTGACGCCTATCAAGAGACCAGTCCCGACGACGCCAGCGACAAGACGAGCTACTCCGAGTGACCGGACGACGCGCAGGCCGCCACCTGGTCTTACCTGCAATAGCCTAGGGACGACGGGGGGAGGGATTTCGGCCGTGGAAATGGCTGCCTGAATCACGAGGAGGACGGAACCTGAAAGTCACAACACATGCGAGTCGTGAGAATTTTCACGAATTTCTTTCTGATTGGGTGAAAATCATTGAGATGGGAACAATTTAGAAATTTTGTAGAGGATTGGTAGAGCGAGAGATTAGGAATGAATAGTTTTGAAAAGGGAGGAACTGAAATAAATAAATAAATAACAATTTTTTGAAAAATTTCTGAAATTTCTGAAGATTGAAAGATTACTAGAGGTAAAACTTTTTAGTACATGGGAAAAGAAAGACGAAAAATTGTTTAATTTAAATTGATGATCAATTTCTGAAAAATTAGAATTGTGAAAGCGTTTAACATATATATATATATATATATTTGTTAAAGATTCAATATTATTTTGGAGTTTAAGAAGCAAAAAGTTATGGTACGACAGATATCTGACAAAGAAGATATTGATAAGAATGTGAAAAGAATTGAATAATTTCACTATAGAAATAATAGAAGAACTAAGTGATATTAAAACAGAAAAGAATGGATCCTTATTACAAAGTTGATGATTTTTATCTAGAAGAACTATCGTTTTATTTACTTGCAAATGTAATTAAGTCGAACGAAGGTCCAAAGAAAATACCAGTCATTAACAACTTTCAAATATGCATCTCTCTGAAGAAGTATTCTACATTTTCTAAAAATATTATAGATGCACCATATAGTGCATTATTCAAGAAGAGACAAAAAGAAGTTGAAAGTTAAAGGAAAAGACGAAATCAAATATGTATATGATATAAAAGAAGAAGACGATTTTTATGAAAGAATTCCCTTAGATTCTTTCCGCCACTATAATAAACGTTGTTAGAGAATTTCCGTGAATGGAAATAAACTTCTCCTTCAAATGTCTCCTTTGAAGAATTTACAAAGCAGTGTGGCCAGTAATCCACCTAATATACATACGTACAATTCGTACTGATCCATTTTCTTTGACATGTAACGTTCTGTGAACGTACAAAGAAAAATATATAGATAGGTAACGACGAAGAAATAAAAAGCGAGCCGCACGTTGGTGGCCTCATTGTAATAATATATCTTTATACATACATGTGTAGATAAAGCGACTAAACGAGGTATGTGTGTAGTTAATATTTATGAGAGAAGAATGAGTGAGAGAGACAGAGAGAATGAGAAGTATAAAAAAAGAAAATTGTATCGTCGCGATAAAAGTAAAAAGTAAAAATAAAAAAGGAAAAAAAAGGATAAATCACGAAACAAATTTGTAAATACGCGTGAATCGCTTTAGCCTGATCATCCATTGCATTAATCTGAGATATTGTCACGGAGTATGTTTAGCAAAGTTACATGATATAAAAATAATGGAAAAGAATAGACGCAAAAAATAAAAAAAAAAAGTAAAAAAAAAATAGTCGAGAAAAAAAATAAAACGGAAAATAAATTATGTGTTTCTGGTATACAGAAACATGTAAGTACATATAACAATGATCGATTATACATAAGTGTTTGCCTGTAAGTATGGCTCTAAGATGTTAGATTTGCCGGCGACCGGAAACGTCGTTCTTTGTAGTTACCATATGTTATTCGAACAAATGTATAGACGGTTTATGAGAATAATAAATAAGATATTGATACTCCATACGTGATTCGATAATCATCCTTGTTTTTTATCCATTGAAATTTATTTTTTTATGTATATATAATCATATTTTGAAATATTCTTTTATCATGAAAGAAAGTAACATTCCGTTTATCAACTCATTTGATTTGATATTGATATTTTATTTTCTAAATAATTAATTAATAGATAAAAATTATATAAGAAAATTACATAATCATTTATACTTATTATATATTTATATTTTTTTGATTTTATCTTATTTTACATTCATTTAATATTATATAGATATTATTCTAAATATATTATTTCTCTCATTAAAATAATACTTTTCATAACAAAGCTTTTTCTGATATAACATTCATAATTAAATTATTCAATATATTTTCTATAAGTTTAATATTATTTCATTTGTTTTATCATCATTTTTTATCTTTCTTTCGTTCTAAAACATCTTTCAAGTATTATTTTTCTTATTTAATATTGTTCTATTGCATTGTTTTACTGCATCTAAAACAATATAAATTTCAAAATATTAATATATAAATAAGTAGTAATAGAAATAAGTAATGATTTCTCTATTTTTAATTAAGAACATCAATTATTAATTTTTTTTTTTAAACGAAACAAATTTTTAAAATTTGAACAGAAAATTTAAGTTTGGACTTTTGTAATAAACGTACTACTTTTCAATGGTTTTCAATAGTTTTTATAGAATTCGCAAAGGAAACCAAAAAATAAAGAACGATTATCATGGTCTGATAGTGTAAAAAAAAACGAAAAAAAGGGAGCATCGAGGAACGCGAGGAATTCACTTTCATCGTGTCCCGATATTTCCATCGATTTTTCGTTTTTTCTAATTTCTATCATCACGTGGAACTTCCCATATACTCTGCATATACATACCATATTATAAAACATGCATATATGTTTCCATATCACTTTTTATTATTTTACTATATCTATTAATCAATATAGAAATAAAATTATAATTGATGAAATGATGGTATTAGTATATATATCTGATATAATAAACGGATATAATAAACGGAATAAATAAATATTATATAAATATATATTTAAATTAATTTATTATTTCGATTTTTTTCTCCTTTATTTCACTAAAAAGTAAAAAAGAAAAATTAATTAAGTTATAAATGATTGAGAAAAAAATATCTTTTAATAAAAAATTAAATAAGAGAAAAGATACGAAAATTTATTTTATTCACATTATATTAGAATAATTTCGGATATAATAAATTCTTTTTTGCATCATCTAATAATATAATCTAATAATATAATAAATATCTTTTAATTTCTTCTAAATCGATTAAATTAAAGCTAATATCAAATGTAATTAAAGGAATATTATTATTATTATTAATTATTCAATCTTTCGTTCTCTTCTGAACAATCCAAAAAAAAGCATTCCATTTTTATTCTATTTTTCTTTATATATATGTTAATAGACGTTACATTTATGATTATTGACATAAACAATAGTCATATTATATTTTAATAAATTTAAATTCAAGTTTATATTTTTTTTTATTTTTTATATAATACATTATAGATATCTATATCTATCTACTTTGGCTTCGGATTTATTTAGATTTAGATTGATTAAAAATATGTTAGGTTAGAATTATGGCGAAATATTTATTTAGTAAAATATTTTCGATTAAATTTCAAAGTCATTTTTAATCAAAAATCTAAAATTCGATTATTATTATATTTTTACTTAATTCAATCAATCAAATCGAATTCTTCTTTTTAAAAGCAAAACCACTTACTTTTTCTCAGATTCATATATTCAATCCTAGGATTTACGAACAAATTTTTTCTATTATAAAGATTAATTTGACAGAAAGAGTAATTTATGATAGAAAACGATATACCTGCAATTTTCTAGGTTAATCATTTTCTCGATAGCAGACAAAAAAAAGGATCAATCGATGCTGTAGAAAAACGCAGGTTTGTATCGGTGTAGGGGACAATCTTCCACTCGACTTAAAATTCTTAAATGAAGGGAATACGAGAATGAAGAAAGGTATCAGATGTCGGATACAGTTTGCAGGTGCAGTAGGATGGCAGGCCTATAGAGGGAGACATGAACCAGAGAATCTTTGAAATTGGATCGGTTTCATGCTCGGTGCACAATTTGGATTTCCGAGCAGTCGATTTCCTACGAATGGATTCTCGACGACGCGACTAATCGATTTTACCACTCGATTTGCAATCTGGGCTCTACTAAATGATCGACTCTGTCAGTTGTTCACTTCAGGTGAAAAGCAAGTTTCGTATGGTTGATTTTTTCTTAATTTTTCTTTGCAACTTTTAACATCAAATATTTTTTAGAATATATAAAATGATTAAATGATTTTAAAATTTTTCAAAACATATATTAATATAATGATCTTATGATAAGAAATTTATTTAATTACAGTCATTCATTTTATATCTAGGTTAGTATTTATAAAACAAATTTTTCAAAATTTCTTTAAAAATAAATTCGAAAAAAGATTCCAATATTTATTTTATAATGTGTATTTGTTGAAATTATATTTAATTATTACAATTATATGTTTGTAAAGTATTCTAAATATATAAATTAACATTTAATTTTTGTTAGGTTAGAAGTAAATTTAAGATTTTATTTGAATGCATAATGATTTCAAAATTTCATTCACGAAAAGATACTAGATGAAAATATTACATATATATTTTTAATGATAATTAAATTTTTTTTAAATTTTTAGACATAAATTAATTATTAATTTTTTTCATAATATTAACATATCAACTCTGGTACTATGCCATTATTCGTAATTGAATACAAATATATAAACTTCATAAATTTTTAATTATTTAATTTTTCAACAAAAATAGATTTTTACAAACAGGTTTTATACTTTTATTATCTATAAGGAATAAATTAATTGATATCGTATGTCGTATTTTATGAAATGTGACTTCTCTAGAAATGTAATCACACGTAATGTTATTATGTATTTTTATCGTAAATTATATATCTATTTAATACAAATAATTTTCATATGAATTTATAAATTTGAATCTAATCTTTATTGTTCCAGATTTATCAAAAGCATCGATTTTATAAAAAATGCTTAAAAAAATTAATATTTGAACAAAATAAATTCAAAAAAAAAAGAAGCTATGGAATAATCTCACATTTTATATTTTAAAAATTTCATATGGTATTTTTTCTTATTCAATTTTAAACGATTTTTCTTTATTGAATTTATTCTTTTGCTAATTGTAATTGTATATTTGATATAATTGAATATAATTTATATTTTTTATATTCTATTTTATTAAATAAAATTGCAAATATATAATAATCAATTCAAGTATATAATTTTAATATTTCTTCACAATATGTTTTAAAAATAATAATTAATGTATATATTCTCTACTAGGTCCCAGCAATATCACAATTCTTAATGTGGAATGCGACCAAAGCGAACAACTGAAATCGTTTTCCAAACGTATACCGAAGCACCCAATCCGTTTATTCCTGGCTGG